ACCATATTGATTACATCTCTCTGCAACAAGGACCCTCCAGTGCTGGCCGGCTCCACTCAAGCAGGACAGCTCGAGTATCCGTGACGCCAGGACTCCCCGGGCCCGACCAGCGCCCGTAACGGGAAACCAGCGCCCGCTCAGGCCTGGCAGTTATTGCCTGTGGCAGTAAGGACAGCCTGGGAATTCATAATGTTGGTGACTTCATCTGCCAGCTGCATTCACACATCTTTACTACCTGAATAACTGATCTCCGCTACTCCAAGGCAGCGCTTTCTGCTGTACAGCATTTGGGAATAAATATTTGATCGCACGTACAGCAGAAAAGAGCTCAGATGGTTTAAGGTGTGACAGCAGAAGTGTTTATTAAATTCCAAGTGAGAGCATTGCTGGACAGTAAAAATTTGTCCCATGGTCCCTATCTCACAGGTGTGGTGATGAACAATAAAAGATCCTTCACGGGCAGAGGGGAGGGAGGGGAAGCAAACTCCCTCCCCCACAAACCCCAAGTCAATTCTTCTGTTCATTAAACCCTCTGCAGGCAACAAGCTATCTGTCCATGACCAGCCAGTCGCACACAAAAGAAAGGGAAGTACCAAATTACAAGCCAATTTAAAGTGGGCATTGATTGAAGTAACCAGAAGACAGCTTAGTATTGTCAGAGCTTCATACAACAGTAATAAACAATCTTCATTAAAAAATGATGCGTGCATCCCTAAGCAGCACAGCGCATGCCAGGTTTTAGAAAAGAGCATAAAGGTTCCCCCCACCCCACACAGAATCAAAGAGAAAAAGAAATGCTCAGGATCTTTTTCTTCTACAATTTAATTTTATTCATTAAAATCCTTCCCACTCTAACTTCTGTATTTGTCCTTAGCAAGGAAGAAAGGAAAAGGCTGATGCAAAACAGAGATCAGACAACTTTGTCAACACTTTCCTACTCTGCTGACAATGCAACAAAATCATTACTTGACTGATAGATAAGCGTCAAAACCCTCTCTGTACGAGGGAATATACAAGGCTTTTCATAAACATACACACACAGATGCACACACATTTTTTATCTGAGCAGGACTGAATTAACAGCTATCACTGAGCATACCTGAGTACCTGAGCCCTTCAGCACATTTGTTACAGTTTAAGGGAAACGCTTGCCCTTACAGACTCAACGCAGCTGTGTGATCTAATTTACTGTCATCAGGAACTGCTGCAAAATCTTCTCTCAAGGTCTTCTCTTTCTGAAAGTTCAGAGTTGTTGGTCCAACAGGTATCCTAACCTTTCTACACCCTTTAATTTCTGCATTATCTATCGTTAGTAGAGTTCTGTCAGATTTTATTTTTGAGGTATGTAACATATGATAAGCATCACTGATCCACAGGTTACAGTATAAAAATTCAGAAAGGTGTCTGGCAATATTCAATCATGTGTCCAGCCTATGCTTATATTTTCTAGATTAGTCTACATCATTCTGCAGATATCCTCAGCTAGCCAAAAATTGTACCAAATGCTGAAATATCTTCTGAAACAGAGCCAGGTCATTCAGCAACAAACACAGTTTTTGTCACGCTACAGACTTCTGTCTCAGGGTTGGTTGGTTTGCTTGTGTAAAGAGCGTGACCTTCAGCTGCAGCATCTCCTGCAGACAGGGCACATGTAAGGTTTCTCTTCCATCTCTGGTGTCTTATAAAGGTTTAAATGTAACCTGACTTACTAAGACTTACCCCACACCTTTGTTACACCCAGTGCAACCAGCCAACAGCCTCGACGCTTCTTCGGAAGGGGTGGGCACACAGCCACCCGAGCACACACAGTCTGCATTTACTCAGTGTACAGTAGTGGTTCTTTTGCTGATTATTAAAGGCTTCCTGCTTTATAAAAATTTAAACTCTGTGTTGTCCCTTTAACATTTCTAACCGCCAATCTGGAATAGCATCTGGAATTACAGTGCATTTAATCCTTAAGGGTATATTCTCTCCATGATGCATATGACTAAAATGCGTGCATCAAGGAACAAATGTCCAGTAGCTTTAGGTGACTACATTTTTGGAAACTTTTCTTAAAGATTAGATTAAAAAAAAAAAAACAAAAACAAAACCAAAAAAAACCAGAGAAGAATATCTTAGGAGAATTTTAAGTCAAGATAACTATACTGAAATATGCATTTTTTTAATTTATCCAAGTAATCTTTACAGATACAGCCATCCAACTTGAAAATGCCATTGCAAATCGTCATTATTGATAACAGTATTAGAGTTTTTTTACTTTTTAAATTGAGATTTTTGCAAATGGTCTTGTGAGAGAATATTGTCATTATTATACCATATTTTTACAGACATGTGAAAATCATCATTTAAAAAATGACACAACTTTCTTAATAAATGCAACAGCAGTTGTCACCAATGGGGGAGAAGGAAGGAAGCTATCAACAATGGCAGAAGAATAGTGGAAGATGATAAACATGTACTTGAAGTCTTCTGATAGGAAGAACAAGTGATGGAGTTAGATAAGCAGAGGCGCCACGCTGGTTGTATCTCTAAGCAACAGGCAATCAAAAGCCAGATAAGCATCTTCATAAAGTGCAACAGACTCAAATGCATGGGTCATAACTGAAGAATCACTTCCTGGTTCAGTTCAGGCAGTAAAAATTTATGACCTACTTAAAAATCCTTCAAACCTAAAAACGTATTTTCCAATAAATTTGTTTTCCATAAAGAATGTAAGCCATTTAGGGGCATGACTTGGTAATAGCAGGAAATGAGAATACTTACAGGAGTGGACTAGAACACAAAAAATGCAGTGTCGTACGTGAACAGCATTTAAAATAAAACCTTTAGATTCTGACCTGAGCTTAATGTAATTTTCTGCACATCTCAAAGGTGAGAAGAGAAGTAAGCACAAAAATACCCTTCCTCCCTTTGCTGAGCTTTGTTACAAGAATAGCACGAGATCTCAAGAAACAGCGTACGTCTTCTCCGTGTGTCTCCTTTGCTCTGTGGCAGAATTCACACCCCTATGCCATCACACATAATCTGGCGTATCTACTCTAAATTTGGGCCAGTAATTTCTGCATGGGAAAGGACTGGGATCAGGCAATACAAAACCTGCAAATAGATGGTAAAGTCCCTCAATCAAAAATCAATTCAAATCCAAACTGTCTGGCAGCGAAGTTAAATAAAATACTGCTATCAGCATGTCCCTAACAAAATCCATGTATTGTTTATAAGAAACATATGAGGTGTTATAACAAAACTGAGTCACTGCTATACAGTAAATATATTTTCAGTGTCATAACAATGTATACAATTGACTTTGGCAATTTTAATATGGACACACATGTTAAAGGCATTACCAATAGAGCTTCATCACATTCACATGAGCCATTTCATACTAAGGCCCCATCCCCACTTCAGGAAAGGTTGTTTAGCATAGAAGAGGTACAGTCCTGCCTGGTTCATTGTTTCAATTGTAGATGGAATAACACGGTTTTAGAATGTGTTATGGTTACAGAATGGTTATATTTCAGAATTATTACACACCCCAGCTATAGGTAATGGCACTGTTCTGTGCATACACAAGAGGAAAAAAAAAAAACCCTCCCTGACAACCCAGATATCTCTATCCATATCAGCTGGCATAGGCACGTTGATAGTGAAGAACAGCGATGCCATTAATCACTCTGAATCCAAAGTGTCAGATACACAGACAGAAGCACGCCTGTGATTCAAGCTTGCAACCTTTTAGGGATAACAGGCATAGATGAACTAGTCCAAAAAAATCGTAACTGATGCATTGATGCTTTCTTCCGTATCAAACAATTATTTTAAAAATTACTTTGTCGTGCAGTAAAACAAATAAAATTCCCTTTAAATAACCAGCATCAGATGTTTGCCTAAGCTCAGTGTGAATTAATTTAACACATTTTAAATATTTGAATATGGAATTTATAATGACAATCCTCAATACACAAAGTAAATGTAGTTATTATTGAACTCAGTTATAAACACATCTAAAAAATATCCCATAATAGCCAAATAAATTAATTTGGCAAACAACGCAGTATCTTGGACTCAGAATTTATATCAACAGCAAACAGTCTGGAACAGGAGCTTTTATTTTAACTCTCTCTTTAAAACAACCTTCAGAAACCAGTTTCTGGACGTGTTACACTCTTTTTACAGTTTAACCTCAATCCAATCAGCAGTCTCCAGGGATTTTCAAATCACTAAAGATTAAAATCCTCTCTGACTTGACTGTTTGACTAATGCTGTGTGTTTAATAATTCTACTTGTGAGAGATTTTATTTGACAAAATCCTGCTGTGTGGACCCTTCAGACACTATACAGCTGTACTAGAATAAAAAGCTCTGCTGTCCTTGTTTCTTTATACAGACTATACCCTGCAACTGAGAAAAAAAAAGAAGAAAACTTTATAGTACGTATATTACTATGTTGATATTAACAAAACCACTGTAATATTAAATTTACACGCTCTTTTAGAGCAAAGTAGTGAAAATGTGCCTATTACACAAACGTGAGATAAACTATCCTGTTGTCTTGACTGTTCACAGAAATCAATTACATTTATGATTACATTTCAATGAAAGCTATTTTATAAATGAGATGGAACTGTAATATTCTATGCTTTAGGCATTCATTAATAAAAGCATTTCAGTGTTAGTATTTGCAAATGTTCTGCTTTTCAGTTTAGGCAAGTTTTAGCATTCTATAGCTCATGTTAAGCTTACTGTAAATATTGTGTTCATATCTTACCACAGTGCTGTGACTTCAGACTTGAGTGTTAAGAGGAAAAAAAAAAAATCATCATTATGGTAGCTTTCAGTAAGTATTTGTATAAGATAGCACTTACCCTATTGTGCAGCTGAAAATCATGATATCCTTTTAAGTGTATGACAATGGTTAGTAAACACGTTACCAGACAAAAAAGGACAAGATTGATGAGTGCCATGAATATCAAAGAAAACATTAAATCAACATGTTTCTACCTGAGGTAGCATCAATCACTGTTGAGACTCCTCTGCGATCAGGAACTGGACGTGATGACCCCGGCATGCTAACAGGTTCTGAACGAACTGGCTGAATTCTAAATAAGAAATTATAGTTACCACCTGTGTCAAAATCATTGCTCATGAGGGCTGTAACTAAACTGCAAACCTGAAACAGCTGAACCAATTAAGCAACTATTTATTTTTAAATCAGTCAACTGTTGAAAACTTTTGTTTGCCTTTGCTTTCTGGAGCCAAGATCTGAATAATCCATCCAGAGACTGACTGAGACTTTACACAAAGTGAGTATCCCCAAACTACCGCTCAGATATGAGCTCTCAGAAAGCCTCAAAGGAAAAAGCTCACCCCACCCAAACTGGTTAAAAAGACTCTATCACCTTCTTGAACATCAGCATTTTCTTTGTCAGTTTAGGAGAAAAGACACAGTTGTAATTGCCTCTTCCTTTTGGAACACAGTTCTATATTAATTTTTCAAAATTTCTGCTTTCTTTCTGCATATGTATACAATAAAAAAGAATACATATTTGACAGCTATATCCCTACTTGTGGGAGTAATTACATGCAAGGAGAAATCACACATTTGAAAACCGTGTATTTTCAGTCCAAGGACAATCTGCCCAGTTTTAATGGGATTAGTCATATTATCCATCTCCCTTGTTTTACTCATAAGCATTTCAGACAGAGTCCCAAGCAATCCAAGTCCATACCACAGAACTTTGGACTTCAAATCACATGCAGAGTCAGAAGCATGGAAACTCGTTAAATCTGGAGCGCTACCGGAAAGGACACAGAAACACACGGTGCATAAAGCACTTCTGCAAAATCACCAGCTATCGGTAAAAATAAACCCACTTTTACCTTCGCTCTCCTTCCTCCCCTTCCTCAGGCCCACGCCCTGCCCCCAATTCCAAATCAGTCAATGTCCAAAACCAGATAATTAAATACATGAAAAAGAATTACAAGGAAGGAAGCAAAGGAAGGAAAAAAAAAAAAAAACAGGGAGGGGAAAAACATTCCAGAAGTTCACTTACTGTTCCAACACACTGACCGCTTCAGAGTCAGCATCTAAATCTATGGCATAAAGCTCCCGCTCATGTCTGAGAAAATGAATTTATTAAGCAATGCAGAAACTGTGAAAGCCAAGATGATGCTGAGCAAGGCCACCAGACTTTGTACTGTCTTTCACTGTCATTTACCCAAGAAGGGGCAGCAGAAAGGAATCTAAGCTGCTTGGCCTGTATGAATTTTTATTGTTGTCAAGTCACACGCTCTCCTAAGACTTTCATCTGGACAAGCTTGATGAAAACTATTACACGTTCTACGCAGATGGCCTCATTTAAGCATGAGGCAAGTTATTCACACAACAAATGTGAAACAGCTTGGAAAGTGATTTTATTTTTACCTGAGACTGTTGAGATCAAGATCATCTGTATCAAAGTCCAGAAGAGGCTGCGGGGTATCACTTGGACCATGCGACTGCAGCACTGAAGAACTGGATGAAATTATGGTAGTTTGGCCTGAGGGATGGATTGTTTTGAACTGGAACTGTGGGCCCATCCATAGGCGTCGATGAGGCCCAGTGTGAGTCACTATTTCAACCTGTGGGAAGGGAGTATGGGGAAATGCTTAATACGAAAATGCAATTTAATATGCTGAATGGTTCCTTCAGTACACTGAACCCCCAGAATCCTGCTGTTCTCAAGCTATAAGAGTGTTCTGTGCCATCAGTTTGGAGGAATGCTGAACAAGGGGAAATTCGGAATGTCTTTGCTAGAGAAAGGATGCTTTAGCCAAAGCCCAGAGCCCCTTGCAGAGCCTTGAAAGCCAGCGAACCACCAGCCTGAGGACACTGCACCCCAGTTCTTAAACTGTTCTGAAGACTGACACTGTCCTGGCTATCAGCTCAGCTGATCCTGTTCATTCATCCATGCCATGATGACAGCTGGGGGGGCTGGAGCAGCTCCCCTGGGGGGCCGGGCTGAGAGAGTTGGGGGGGTTCAGCCTGGAGAAGAGAAGGGTCCGGGGAGCCCTTTGAGCGGCCTCCCAGGGCTTAAAGGGGGGACAGGAGAGGGGGGGAGGGACTCTGGATCAGGATGTGGGGATGGGACGGGGGGTAATGGTTTTAAACTGTCAGAGGGCAGATTTAGATGAGATCTAAGGCAGAAATCCTTCCCTGTGCAGGGGGTGAGGCGCTGGCCCAGGGTGCCCAGAGCAGCTGTGGGTGCCCCCTCCCTGGAAGGGTTCAAGGCCAGGTTGGACGGGGCTGGGAGCCCCCTGGGCTGGGGGAAGGGGGCCCTGTCTGGGGCAGGGGGTGGCACTGGGGGGGCTTTAAGGTCCCTTCCCACCCAAACCAGTCTGTGATTCTATACCTCCCCTCGCCATTATGAAATACGTGCTATAACTTCAACGCTAAAATGCTACTCTTGTTGTGCCAACAGAGGACCACAATTCCATCTGCATCTACATGGAGTAGACAGAGGAACTGAGCAAGTCCACCTCCTCCAGATAACCTCAGTCCTGAGCAGGTCAAGGGATGCACTTCTTAAAAGCAAGCTGTTACAGCTTTGTTATAGCTGCTTTCTAAAAGTTCACACATCAAACAGCGCTGCTTCACATGTATATAGTGTGAACTGTATTTCAAACCAAAGCTTGTAATTACTGTTGGCATGCCTGAGGATCCGGCTGGCAGAGACCATCTTGCTGGAGAGCAACAAGATTTGCAAGAGAGCAACGTGAAGTGTGCTGTGAGACACCGAACAGCCCAGCTCACACTCGAGACCATGCACACACAGCTCAAACTCTGTGCGACACAGCGAGTTTAGAAGGGCAGCGACACACACACACACATATATTCATTTCACTGAAATGCTGGCAATTCAAACAGAAGTAAGGGTGTTTGCTTGCAACGAACAACCACACATATGTAATAGGCGTGTAAGAGGTATGTATCTGTATGCATGTTTATGTGCAGATATACACACAGACACAGGAGCTTCTCAGTTCCATGCCGACTCCCAAACAGCACAGAGAATACAGGTGCTGTGTCTAACAAACAGTAATTTCAAATATTCGGATTTTCCTCTACATATTGGCTCCCAGTGAGAGTCTAAATATGAACTTTTGAAAAATAAGTTATGTCAGTAAATGAAGCATCCAGAATATTTTAAAAATGTCTTTTCGCGCTGATAACTATGAACTTGATGAGTATCAATTCTGACAAACTTTTAAATAAGCCAACTATAGGAATGCAAACAACCGTAAAAATTTAAGATGGTAACATTGCTGGAAACTTATATGATCGGGAAAATTGGGCCTTCAAAATAAAAAGCTAAGCAAAGCATAAGTCTTTTATAATACAATTTTTAAAATCAAGAAGAGCCTTTAAAGATCAGAAATAGGAAATATGAAATGAAAATATTAAGTTCTGGTGAAGTCACACTTTTAAGATGACAAAAATAGACTATTAAACTCCTATCAATTTCTGCTAAAAAAATGATCAGCTTCACAGCAAAAATGCAATTTTGTGAGGAAATTCATTAAAATATATTTTTGTATATATATGACACAGATGTATACCAGTAGCAATTCTTAACTCTTTAAGAAGCAATTCTAAACACAGGATAATGCCGTTCTAAGTTCTCTGCTAACGTCAGACAACAAATGTACAGCTTATTTAGCACTATTTCCATCTTTGCATTTATCTTAGTGTAACTCAGATTGACTGTAGACATTTCTGAGACAAGTAGCTTTTACGCAGCAGTGTAAATTAGGCCACAGATAAAGTAATCTGTGTATTTTAAGCTTGAAACCATCAGTGTCACAAAGCCGAGAGGTAAACAGATGCCTTTGCAATTTTACTGAGGCTATGGCCAGATGTTCCTATTCACTCTCCTGTTGTGTGCAGGACAAACATATTGTATCTACTTCGCACTGACAGCACACATTACCCACTGTTCTAATTGAAAAGTTGAAGTGAAGGGCAGTGTTTTTTCACTGCATGCTGTTACTCTTGATAACAACACTTTAATTCTGAAAAACACACTTGCACTTTAGGCTTAATCTAAAGTGGCTTGCTTAGAGAATGCTAGCATCTTCATGCTCAAAAGAGCTATCATCACTCTTTTCACTTAATGAAAATTAAACATTTTGGAAGCATTCTTCGAATTATCTGTGTTCTGTGACATCACTTGGGATTTTTTTTTCCCCTTATAAATATATTTGCTCCTCTCAAGGGACAGAAGTAATGAAGTTCAGTCTTAAGTTCCTCTGTCGTCTTATATATTCCAAAAATTAGTAATAAACCAACCCTCATAACGTAGGGTTACCTTACTCTCTTTTTTCCGGAGGTTGTCCATTCTACCAGAAAGTCACCAGAAGAGTAAAAATAACCTAAACTATCCAAACAGTACTGGAAACGATAGGTGGAAAATTACAGCTGAAATCTTGGCCCCAGTGAGCTCCGTGATAAAATTCCTGTCCACAACACTGAGTTGTTTCACCATCTTTATGCTCTGACAAATTAGAGACAGCACAAGCAAATAAGATATATCATTGTGCAGCCACATCTGAAAAGGCCAGGTAAGTGGATTCACATGAGTAGATTCCCCAGTGAATGCCGCTCCCGGACTGGTACATGTGGAAACCTAACTTCTTGTTTTAGGAAAATGCAGTGTATGATTTATTCACCAGTGGGAGAAGCAAATCACATCCATGAGTACTTCGTATTTGTGCCATACACCCCTGCAACACAATTAATGCATCACTCCCCTAACAACATTGTCCTTAAACCACAGGAAACCCTCTTAATTTGTCAGGAGGAATTCCATGTATCAGGTACACTGTAATTGCTTTGGTAAATCCAGAGCATTTGTAATTTTTATTTATTTAACTCTAACCTTTTATTTCTAACGGGAACTAATTCTCTGTGCATTATTCATGACCTACATTCTTAAACTGAAATTATGTTTTGTGCCAAATAGCCAAGTACGTACTGAGTTCTTAAAGAGAAGCTTCATTAACTGAAACAAAGCAAGAATGGATAAAACTACAAAACTACCTCATATAAAAATATTCCACCGAGCAGGATAATTTTAAAGCATTATAGTAGTATTTGTATCTAGCCATAACTCACGGGAATTATCTGTAGGAAATGCAGTAGCTGACAACCAGAAAAAGAAGGATGTAAACCAGTTAATCTACCATTTTTATGTTAAAATGTAATAAGTATAGCACAGGTCACAACTGAAAAGGCATCGTCGTTTTGTCAAGCCAACTTCCTTTATCCATGTCTGAAAAGGACCATGTCAGGAGAAAAAGGTAGAGAGGTAACTTTCTGCTGGCAACTTAAGCTTCCTATCTCATTGTGAACTTCCCAAAGACGTGACTTGTGCCAGGAATGATGGGGGCTTTATATTTTAATATAGCTTGTATAGTTTGTAGACAATGTAAAGACCATCAAATTCACGGCCTACTGGAAAGCTTACTTTCCATTTTGAAGGAACTTGTGAATTTTACTTCCCACGGATACTATTACTGTTTCACCCCTGAACCAGAACACCCCCAAACCCATACCTGTGACAGCCACTCTTCATCCTCTTGCCCGCTGTGGTCAGATGCTAAGCTGTCATACGACTCATGTCGAGTGATCGGCCCAGGGCTCCCTGGTGGAACCACTGAAAAAAAACAGAAAATTGAAAAATCAGATTTACTGTTAAATGTATTTTTAAAAAGCTTTTTCAGTAAGTTATTGGTACAGCAACGTATATATTTTCCTAAATCTGTGACGATATGTTGGAGCACAGAAACAGCTCAAATACTGACATCAAAAGTGATGAAAAGATTTCTGTTCTTTGACTTGAATGTATACATACAGCCACTATGATAACCCAACTGGCCCTTCTTTTAACCTTAAGTCCTCAGTGAACATACAGTACAGCCCAATGCAGATGACATCCATCTGTCTTGAGGAATTTAACACTGAGAAATGCCACTGTCAGTGATGTAAGCCTTGTCTACAAACTCCTCAGAATTTCAGCTGTGCTAAAGCACACCGACAAAAGCTATCCTGAGGCACTGGTACATGCACTGACTTTGAACACAGAGTACTTCCAAGACTTTGTGAACTGAATTATCACTCTGATTTTGACATGAATGTAGTTAATTTAAAGATGGCTTCACAAACAACTTGATTTTAGGATTTGACTTTTTTGCAATTTAATCAGAAGTACTCCGTTATCATCTTAGTGTCACCTTTTCATTATAATAGTGACAATATATTAATTAAGAATCCATAACAAAGCAGAGTTTGATGTTTATTTTGCTACAGAGACTAAATACTGAGATTATTTCACTGGACTGTAAAATACCAGAAATTCTGTATTCAGATGTTGCATTGCATTACAGTAATACTGTATAATGATTTTGGACAGATAAGAAAAACACTTTTTTCAGCTGCAGGTGACACTGATAAGTAAAAAGATGTATTAGTTCAAGCTGAGGGACAAACTCAGCAGCAGCTATTATACACAACAGTCCAAGACACAACCCCTAAGCAGCCCGTAACCTCCAATCTCCTGGACGCTGGCGCATCTGCTTCCAGCCACTACCAGATATGCCAGGCTGGGTAAATTTTTGGTTTGACTCAACACCAGATCTGTCCACCGCGCTCAGCAACAAACCTTTTCTTGACAGCGCCATGAAAACCTTATATAACTGCTTAAATACAAGTCTCTACTGTTTTCAAAAGACTGGTACAAACAACCTCAATTCACAGAACTAAGTTAATTTTGTTCCTCTATTCACTACTCTCATTGGTCTTCATACGAACTCACTACAACAGAAAAATGCCAGTTCTTCACCTCTGTAGACATCAGGGTATCCAAAACTACTTTTAAAATGATTACCATATACATATAGAACTTCAGGAAAAATCATAACTTAGTGTTCAAATGCTACCACAAAAAAGAGAGAGAATTGTAGACTCATGGTAAAGATTAATATTTCATGCTGCCTGGTCCTTGAGTGATTTGAATACGTTAGCAAAGCTTACAGTCTAGCTACTTTACTTTCTGTGGTGGTAGCATTACGCCGCTCTAACTAAAACTTCACACTTCAGAAAGCTGAAAGAATTTAGCAGAAAAAAAATGCAAGCAAGCACCCCAGACAATGAGACAGGAGGTATTTTTCATTTTCTTGTACCTGCTTAGTGTCAGGGGCCTGTTGGAACCCTCGATTCAATACCAAGAAACCATACCCACTTTGAGGGAAGAGCAGACACCACAAAAACAAATTAAAAGAAGCAAATGCAACAATGATATTTTTACTTCGATAAAATATGAGAGTTTATGCTATAGCATTGATACAGACAATCCTAAAATTAGAACCAATATTTTTGTATTCACAATCTAAAAATGACTCACAGTTTTAAAAATTGATTTTTAAAAACTGTATTATTACAGGGTTGACCTTTATGTGTCAAGTTTCCATCCACTACAAATTTTTACAGCCATGTTGTAAACCCCTAATAATAGGAGTTTATAATGGCAAAGCAGACACAATTGTAACCATAAATACAGAACGGCGCCTCTATAATATAAACAGCACAGAGTTTTCATAAATCCATACACTATATGAAATAAAGGGATTTTCATCCTGTTTGTATAAGTGGGTATCTGAACCCAACCTCCGCCATGCAGCCATTTCTAACACCTCTGTATCGCAGAGTGTCCGTATTCTGAAACCTGCAATATACCAAATCCAGTTTAGGGCCTAACTTATTAAAGAATTATTCAAAGTGCTATATACATGAGGACATATTCTTAAAAAGTGTCAAGTTTTTCCCATGAGATACTATACATCTGCCACAGTCACTGAAATCAATACAATTTGTGCCTGCACGCGCATGTAAATACACACCTTGGCAACCACAGACGTTATTTCAGCCGCCTGTGTTGATCAGTTTTCAAGATAATATAGAAACTACATTCATCTGCTTTGCTACAGCCATGACAGATCTAATTCAGTGGTTTACGGATGTGTCCGGCTCGCCCCTATCAAACTGGTATTAAGAAAATACACGTACCCTCCCGGATTACAAACAGCTGACGATTCACAGTAAATATCTGAATATGAAACCATAATGCCCACACCGCTTGCTTACCGGTCAAGTTTACATTCAAAGTCAACGAAACAAACCCATTATTTTGACACGTTTTGCTGTTGCCCTGATCTTTCCCCTATCTCCCGACTCCCCTACAATAAATCCTACTGACTGCAGTAACGCCGGTTTCTGAGGGCACAGCTGATCAACTGCAGGCTTTCCTGTTGTTGTACTCCACTAACAAACTGTTCATGACTCTAGCAGATGTTTTTGCTTTCAAACCAACGGGAACTTTATGGACTGTTCTGATTTTTTTCTGTTCTTTCTATCCCAGGGGCAACTACTAGAGCTGTCAAGATTAGGGAAGCTGCTATTCAGTGACTAGCTGCAAAAACGCCAGCCCGGGGAGCAGCACCCACCCTGGTTTGTCACCGTATTTCCCCCTTGGGTAATACTCGTGTATGTTACTGGAGATTCAAGACGGCATTACAGTGGGAAAGAAATTCAAATTTAAGAATAGTTTCGGTCCTATGCTTCATGCCTCTTCCCGAGGAACCACAGCTTTGCATACGTCTTGCAACAACACACGTTTGAGCGCCGCTTCAGAGCGCAGCATTAACTCTTTCTACCAAAAAGTGATGACATGCTGAATTCCACAAAAAAACCCTCTGCCTCGGAGTTCACCAGCAGGGCAACAGTGATAAAGCCTTAGCTGAGGGCGAACCTCAGCAATTTATTTTGCTATTTAATAAAACATCATTTATGTACCACACCTATCACAACAGCAGGCATTTGAGGAGAGTCTGGTTTCGACAGCAGGATCCCAGTGACGGTCCCGGCTTTCCCGCAGGCAGAGCGAGCTCGGGTCCCACTGCCCTTAGTGGAAGCAGGCAGCATTCTGCGAGGTGTGACCTCCAGAGACAAGAGACCCTGGCTGGAGATCTGCCATCGCTCTACTGCTTCTTACAGATATACATATGGTCATTTTTCCCCGAGTTAAAAAAGGCTTGAAGTTATAGGAACAAATATGTTCTAAAAATGTAAAACGGATTCTTTCTTCTTTTCTGGGTCACACACCTCCTGCATTGGTATCAAGTTCCAAGATGAGATTAATTTAAGCCCGGAGGGACATTTCCAGGAATTTGAGCTCGAAAGTAATCTTTCATCTTCCAGCTTAATTCTTTGAAAATCTGAATTCACACTGGAAATTACGACAGTGAAGCTGTTCTTATGCTGTAACACAGAGTTTTTTCATTTTCCAAAGAATTTCACTATAATGCAGGATAGCAAATAATAACATTCAAATTCTTCAAAAGCTTTGCAGCAAGTAGTGGTTTTTTTTGCACTCTTGTGATTTTGCTTTCATTGAGGAAAAGTCACAAATGGCACACACAGAGCAAGCAAGCCCCGGTTGCACAGAGATATTTTACTGGCAGTTGCAGTTGTTTTGTACCTTCCTAAAATAATGAATTCAATGCTTTGTGTCTGAGCTATGCCTATTTTTAACTTTTTGCTATTCTTACACCAACATCTGGAACAAACTTATATCAAATATCAGAATGCAACTGAGTTTCTTTAATCTAGAAATACACAAACATGAAGAAATTTGTACAATTACCTGCAGAGCGAAAAAAGTACAAAGAAAATGAGTGTTTATTAAAAATTTAAGGTGAGAATTAGAATATGTAACTTCTGTTTATGCAGTATAACAGGATATCAGTTTCTAAAGTCCACTTACAAATGCCAAAAACTCCATAAGCAAGCATCCAAGGTCACTTTTTAAAAAACGGAGTGCTACCTGCAGCAAAAATCAGAGCTTTGCCATAAATATTTGGCAAGGGGCAAAAAAAATCTTTGACCTGCTTAAAAATAATAATAGCACCTTTAATCTCTGCCCTCCTTCAAGTGTAAAGTGATCTGCATCAACTCTAAGTCTGGAATATATTCCCGTCCCTCCATCCTGACTGGCTCTACTGAACCACTCCACATTTAACTAAGGAGAACCAGAATCTCAGCAAAAACTGTTGTTCTTCATCTTCTTTCATTTTTGAACAGTCATCTCATTTTCTACCCTCAAAATCAAAGGTGCAGGTGCTTACCATAATCTAAGGTAAATTTTTTAAGTTTACAGACTCCCTTCTCTGCAGTTACAGGATTAATCTTACTACTACACCGAAGAAAGATTATTAAAGGCAAGGGTCTGAAAAAAACACATTACACACTTAGTCATTTGTGTGATAATTGTTAGTGCCAGGAAAATTGCACAGAAGTGACTGTGAAGACAAAAGTTTCAACACAAGCCAAAACAAAGGCTGAAATATTCCTCTGGAACTCCAGGACCTGATTCACACAGTTCAGCAATCAAGTATGAAAAAAAAAAAAACCCACAACATTGTTTTGAAACTCTCCCATGATATTTAGTGACAAATAAAGAAAACAAACAATTTATATTAACCTCGAATAATTTGCATAGACATTCCTGACATGTGAGCAAGACCTAGACAAATACACATGCTTGACGAATATTGGAATTAACAAACAGTGGGGTTTTGTTCATAGATGGGCTAATTATAC